GAGGAGGGACCAGTACGGCCTCGTGTTCTGTGCGCCAGGCGATCGTGACGGCTGCAGGGCAGAGCTCTGCGCTTGGCAGGTGCTTTCACGTGTACCTATATCGCCCTTGGGAATGATTTTTTTGATTATACAAAATCCAAGAGGATATTGAAAGTATTATTTTTATTAAGGTTCGAAGGGGAGTAGAGGTACAACCCGCGGAGCCCAAGCTACGCTGCGCTCGCTGCGCTCCTTCGTGTGCCACCAGTGCCAGCTCAAGCCTATTGGCAGAAGGCGGGTCTGCAGGACCTACAGTGGAGTATAATAGCGATACATAAAACGATAAGAACTCCAGCCAAAGACAAAGATACTGTGCTTGTGCGAAGAAGCTGTGAAACGATAGGGAGCGGAAACAAAAAAAAGATTTTCAGGACCAGCAAGTTTTAACGGGCTTTTACAACATGAGTTCAGCCTGTGCAGGTGCGAGATGACCCTGAGCAACCTAGCTGCAGAGTTGTAGACCGCGATATTCCCGTGTCGAGCTTGCCCCAGAGAGCGCCCCATACTCCTGAGTTCAAGAAGAATTATCCATAAGGACCCTTGTGCAGTTTAAGGCGCATAGCTCCCTAAACCCGAAACCCCTAAACCCTAAACCAGCTTAGTTGAGGGTAATCGGGCTATTTGAACCTGCTTCCTCTTGAAGGTTGCACGAAAAAACACAATACAAGCGGGTGGCAGCTCCTGGCACAACCAGCCTAACAACAACCCCCGCAGCAAAGCAGCACAAAAGACAACGTGCTTATATATATATATATATATATATGTACTATATATATATATATATATTTGTATTATATATGTATTATGTATATGTATATATATGAATGCACTGATCTATACGGAGACACACAGGTAGTTATTTGTATATGCACACCTTTTTTTAATTTGTCGATTTTCTTATGTGTTGTTCTATAATGTATGTATGTATGTATGTATGTATGTATGTATGTATGTATGTATGTATGTCTGTCCTGGGCGTGCTCGACACCAGCTTTTGACCAGCGGTCTGCCCTGCTCTCGGGAACTCTTGAAGAACCCGCACACAGCCACTCACAGTCTCCTTGCAAGTTCCCCTTCTTTAGGTATCCAGAATGGGAGCCCAAAATGGAGCAACCCATATTTGTTGATATTTATTGCTCAGAGAGCCAGGTCAGTTTGCGGTGCTTACAGGTTCTTCGCAGGGCATTCGGGACATCGGTACCTTAGATAATCCCGAAAAAGTATTTAATATGGGGAGGGGGTCACGCACCCGATTCCTTAGGATTTCCCCCGCTTATACTAACAATGCCTTAATAGGCATTGTATTGGAGGTACGACAATAGGCATCGCAATAGAGGTACTATAATCCCTATGAAGGACTGTTAGTAGAAGGGGGCACGTCCCAACCAATTCCCATATTCACCACTTGAACGTGCAACATGACCCTAAACCCGAAATCCTAAACCCTAAACCCTAGCTTGTCCGAGTGTGAGCGATTAAACCTAAACCCTAAACCCTAAATCGCATTCACCAGGAATCCGATGGCGCCACTGGAGCCTTTGCTGGCAGGCTGGCAGTCCCTGCACCCCACCTAACCTTTTGTGTGGCTTCTCTGAGGGTATTAGGGATTAGGGTTTAGGGTTAGGGTTTAGGGTACCCTTTTAGGGGCTCATATAAGAGGACCGTGCCACTACCCTTATAGAGCTTCTTGTAGTTCAGAATCATGGTCTCAACTTGGGATGTTCCCCCTTATACTGGAGGGCGGTGCGCTGTGGGGCCTGTGTTTTTTTTTGTGTTTTTGCAGTGCACAAGTGTTTATAAAGCACGTGTGCATGCACATGACACTCTGTATCCTGGATACTTTATATTTACGAGCACGCGCGCATACACAGGATAATAATTCATCCCAGAGACTCCATTCGTAGACCATACCTTGGCTGCCAGCAGAGTAAAACGAAAAAAAAATCTTTCCACGACTGTGGATATGTAACAGCAAGTGCAGCTCGCTCAGCAGCGATGTATTTCTTTTACCCCGTTCACGTCAGCACTCAGCTGTGCCTTGAAGCCCCTAGAATCCGGCTCCTTGGTTTCGCCTGTGAGTATATAAACTAGAGAGATACACACAGTGACACCGTGCTTTTCTTCTCACTGTCGAGAAGCCGGCTTCTTTCTGGCACACTCTGCGGCAGGCCTTTTCTTGAGACCGTTCCCGCACGTGTACGGCTTGCTACGCTTCTTGTTCTTTCTATTCGCGCCTATGCGAGGCAGACACTCGGTTTTTCTACGCTCCACAGCAATGTTGTGTAACTTACAAAAGTACAACACCTTGAACGCATGTCGCTCGGGCGTCGCTTCATTGAGTATGCGCGCAAAGTTTCGGAACCAGGAGAAAAACCCCTCAGCTGCCGATGTGTTGATTTTGTCGACACGTCTAGACAACCTGACATGGTGGAGCGGATTACAGGGGCACGACTTCGTGTGCCCGTGCGAGTGGTCTACATTCGACATGTTGGAAACCTCAGAGCTGGAGCTTGATGAGCTGGAGTCGTCGTCACTGCTGCTCTCACCCTGGTTCTCGTCATTGGTCTGGTTGCTCTGGGTCTCCTCATTGGCATCGCGGGACTCGGTGATGACGTCTGTTGGCTCCTCATTGGTGACGCGGGAATTGGTGATGGCATTTGTTCGTGTATGCACATCTGTGATGGCAAGGATCCCCTCATTGGCGTTGCGGGAGTCGATGACGGCGCTTGCTGGTGTTGACTGATCCGTGATGGCCAGCATGGACTGGGCGGTCTTTGCCTTGTTGGAGCCTTTTTTCGGTGTCGCCAACCACTGATGAAGGGCATGCTCGGCTACAGGGCTCCATCCTCCATTGAGACCCGTGGGCAAGTTGAACTTTTTTTGCAAGTAGCACACGTGCGATAGTAACTGCCGCGATGTGATGCTCTGCTTGGTTTCGTCGGTAACGAGTGTTCCATCTGTGATCTTCGCAATGATATCGGCGAGCCTTGGCATTTCCATGGTATTGTTGGGCACAGTGGGTGACGCGGAAGATTGAGAGAAGGACGTAGGTGGTTGTGCTGAACCACTGGCCATACTCAAGTTGGTAACCTCAAGCCTGCACACACCGCCCTCCACATGGAGGAATCCAGCTACCGGCGCCGAGCGCTTCATATCTAGGCCGCAATATACTACACAGAAACTGTTCGAATCTAAGCCGAAATACTCGTCATAGCATTTCATGATTCAGCTGATAAGTATATAGTGAGCGACAATCTGTACTAGCGCGCGCACCCATGCACCAAAAAGAAACTAATGCAGCCGAGATGCTATATATTTATTATTTATATGAGGTTAAAGGTTTAGGGGTTAAGGGTTACTTACTGCGTGCTGCTCGATGGTTGCGAGCTGCTCGTTGCAATCCAGGCACCTGGGGAGCGGGGGGGGGGTGTCTCAACAGCCCCAAGACCCCCCCCCCCCCCCCCCCCACCCCCCCCCAAAAAAAAAAATCAATGCTTATAAGCAAACCATCCAAAAAAATCAATGCTTATAAGCAAACCATCTGCTTATAAGCAAACCCTGGCTCGACAAAAAAAAGAACCAGAAGAAATCAAGTACGACAATCAACCACGCCCATCTAAGCTGAGTATAGTTCAACTACTTAACTTCGTCCATCCAACCTGAAACAACTGAATCTTCAACGAAGAGCCCATCTAACCTTAATATAGTTCAACTACCTAACTTCGCCCATTCAACCTCAAACAACGGAATCTTCCACGAAGAGCGTTAAAAAAAACGCAGGCCCCACAGCGCACCCTTCTGTTATACTAACAGTCCTTAATCGGGATTATAGTAGGGGGTACTCGAATCCCAAGAAAGGACTGTTAGTGTCAGGGCAACCCCAAGCCCCGAAGCCGTGCCGTGGCAGGGAGCCTGCCCGTGGCAGAAAGCTGGGGCGATGCTAACCTCCGTCAGGCTCGAGCTGTCACAGTGGGGAAGAATTTTGGGTTTAGGGTTTAGGGTTCAGGGCTTAGGGCTTAGGGTTTAGGGTTTAGGGTTTGAGGTCTAGGGTTTAAGGGTTTAGGGATTCAGCAGCAAGACACACACACACAAAGAGCCAGCATCAGGCAGATTCAGCTCAAATGTGCTACTAGTAGGGGGAACTCCAAGCCCTACATACCCTAGACCCTAAAATGGCCCATCAGTCCCATCAGTGCCCAGTGGAGCACTCGCTAGAATGGGTGGCAAAGAAAATGCCTTTTCTTGGTAGCCCAGTGGCACCCTTCTCCCTTTTCTCTCGGTTATGGAAGTTATGGGTTTCCTTATCAAAATAGCCAACCCAAAAAAGGGTGCCCTTGTTACGATATGGTTGCTGGGCTACCCAGCCTTAAACAGGTGGCACGTAAGAGACAAGTCGTTTGCACGTCAAGCCTTGGAGAGGTCCTCGGTGAGGCCTACAACCCGCCGCTGATCACTGAGGACTGCCTCCTCGAGGTTTAGGGTTCTTGGGTTTAGGGTTTAGGGTTTAGGGTTTAGGGTTTAGGGTTTAGGGAGGATCCAGTTGCAAAAGGGTTTAGGGAGAGAGAGGGTTTTGGGGCTCTATGGGACATCAGTTCCTTCTTGCCCTGTTCTCAAGCGGTTCAGGCTGGACAAAGACAAGCATGTGCCAAGCGCAGCAAGTCAGAGAGTCGCTGTAGTGGAGTTCGCTTCCGGAGAGGTTCTGGTGGATCTGGGCTGCGACAAGCCCAACATGCAGACAGTGTTGAACGCAGTAGATATTGCAGATGACTGAGTCTACGTTAAGCCCTTGGGATCTTTCTCGTTTTCCCTTATTGGCTTTATAAGAGGCTCATAATTTCGGAATGTATCTTCAGAGGGTTTTTAAGGGGCCAACCAAGGAGTGATTCTCAGCAAAGGCTTGTGGCTCTGGTCTCCGAATCAGCTTCATTTTGTTTCACCAAAGAGGCACAAAGCCTTGCCTGATGCCGCTGGACGTGAGGCTGATGAGTGGGAAGCCCCTGGGGGGCTGTTCCAATTTTGAAGGCCACGGTGCGGAGCTCCGGGAGCGCGTGGCTTGCGAGCTTCAGATCTCGCCTCAGCGCGTGTCACTCTTGGCAGGTAGCCGGGAGATTACCGATGAAGAGACACTTTCGGATTCCATCGACACTGTCACGGCCATGGTAGCAGAGGGCCAAGAGCTAGCGCAGTGGTGCGAGGAGAAGATGCCAGAGTATTCCTTTACCGAGGTGTCGGGAGTCGGTGTACCAGATGGCTCTGAGGAGATCGATGCCAAGCTGCTTGGCCGCGTCTTCATGCTCGCGCTGAAGCGTTTCCTGAACCGGACTCAGCAAAGATATGTGAGGTCTCTGAAGGAGCTTGGGGTCGCCTTCGACCCAGTTCGCCCTTTCCTTTTCAGCGTGGGAGAAGCAAGCCCCTTCTATGAAGCATGGGCCCGAAGGAAGCTCGAAAATCCTGAGGATGTTTCGAAATGGGAAGCCCTTCACAGACAAGCCCAGGCAGATGTGAAGCGAGGCAAGCGGGCCATCGCCACTTTCGTGGCCTTAGATGAACGCTTGGTGGGCCCGAACTCGGTTCGCTGCTTCAGCCGCTGGGAGGTACATCAGGAGGATGGTCAGGAGGGGCACCATCGTGTGTACGGGCTGCGTCAGGCCTATTCCGGGGTTGAGTTTGACAAGATCCTCGGCATGTGGATCGAGGCTGAGGGTGATCTGGACTGGCATGCTTCTATCAGCATCTTGGGCGCATGGACCTGGTACGGCATGAGGGAAAGCTGGATGGGCCTTCGCGAGCCACGCTACTGGGAAGAGCAGCGCGACATCCGCAGGGAGTGCTCCACCGGCGAGGTGGCAGCCCGCTTCGAGACCTTCTGTGATGTCATCGCGGCAGCGCAGACAGGACAAGCGGAGGCTGCATGGCTGAAGCCCCACATCAGCCATGCCGTTTGGGCCATGATGCTGGGCATCCACACCGAGACCCTCCTGCTTGCGGAGTCATGCTACCCAGCATCAAAGGGGAAAGATGAGCCCTGCATGATGATCCTGGGCCGAGCTTTGAAAGCCATACTGCGTATGTCTGCACATGTGGAGGGCCTGAAGGAGAAGGTCTTTGAAGCAATCTTGTGTATGGCTGACCATCGGAACGACGCCCTGCGCATTTATGGCCTGGACCTCCTTCGTGAGCACTTTCCCACTGAGCAGAAGACGGCCGAGCTTCTTGAACGCCAGGCGAGTGCAGACTGGCCACACATGCGACCGTATGTTGAAGCTGCGCATCATGCATGCCAGGCTGTCTCAGCTGCAGATCCCTTGCCTGCGAGCGACGTTCCTCATCAGCTCCCATCACCCCGTCGTCTTGTGAACCAGAAGCTTCTGAACAACCCGATTGAGATTACAGGGGAACGGAATCTTGCCATGCACAGTACAACGGTGAGTTTAGGTGTTTTTGGATGCTTGAGTTTCCAGATGACGGTCTTGTATGATCCACGTGTTGTTACAAGGAGGGCCCCCCCGTAATTGGCTGATCCTAAATAAGCTTATAGGTCCCCTGACTACAGTAAGTATGCTAAGGAGGCCCCTCCCTTGTACATGTTGCTGTGCCCTGAAAGTCATCCCTCGCTTTCAACGCTGCAGTTCGAGCTTCCAGACAGGGATATGGGAGTTGACGAAAGTAGGAAGGACTCCAATGAGGCACCCCCTACCATACCTGAGGTACAACCTAAGAGGAGATCTGAAGCACGTTTTGTTCGAGGATGTGGATGAGGTGGAGCCAGAGTGATTGTCAAGCAGTAATGCGGCAATGTATGCACGAATCGCTGGCAGCGAGATGTCTTGCGAAGGTGCGTTTCACAGGAAGTCAGGGACCCTCGGTACATAATCAGTTTGCGCAACAAATGTGCGTCGCCAAAGGCAACCGCGCTTTCAGAGTGTTGCTTCGTTTACAAGCCAAAGGATGTGACGTGGAGCTGCACCTGCCCAGACAGGTCAATACTTGGAACTGTAGCATCTCTCTCTGTCTCTCTCTCTCTTTCTGAAAAGGCTGCTCAAGATATGTTGCCTTGAGTGGCTCCTGCCGAAGGTTTCCGGCCCCAAGGACGAGAGGGTCCTAGACCAAAGTCAGAGGATGTCTTGACCGAACGCTCAGTGGTACTTACGCACAATGCCTTTCTTCGGGGTTAAGGACCCCTTTTAAGACCGATTACCCCCCCCCCCCCCCCCCCCCCGAAACAGCTTGACAAGAAACTGACTGTCCTAGGCGAACCAAAGGGGATCCTAGGATAAGTTGGAAAGGTAGTTTGTTCTAGCAGCCTGTGAGCAATCAGAGATGCTAAGCCTTAAAGGCAGTTTACTTCCTGGACCCGGAAATACTCAGAAACCCTAAACCCTAAACCTAATAAGTTGAGACAATGCCTGCAAGTTCATGTGTCGTGTCTTGCAAGGATTACCTTCGACTGCTCCTCAGCTGCAAACGATCTCACCCCCCTAGGGCAGGTCCCTGTCATAGTCTGCAACTCCTAAACCCTAAACCCTATACTCCTAAACCCTAAACCCTAACCCCTAACCCCTAAACCCTAAACCCTAAACTCTGGCGGATTGTCATGGTGAGAACCTTCCAACCGAGTCCTTGCCTGCCTTATGCGAGCGCGAGAGCCGAAACCCTAAACCCTAAACCCTAAACCCTAAACCCTAAACCCTAAACCCTAAACCCTAAACCCTAAACCCTAAACCCTAAACCCTAAACCCTAAACCCTAAACCCTAAACCCCCTAAACCCTAAACCCTAACCCTAAACCCTAAACCCTAAACCCTAAACCCTAAACCCTAAACCCTAAACCCTAAACCCTAAACCCTAAACCCTAACCAAACCGCTGAGTGGTTCGTCCAGCTATGCGGGTGCCCCAAAACCCTCAGCCCTACCCTCCGACGAGGTACGCTCACCGAACGGGAAGGGGCCTACAGCGAGACAGCGCGTTCGCCATCGGAGCGACAGAAAGGGCCGAGGGCATTGACTGGCTCGTGCTGTGCTACAAGTAATGTAGAAGCGGATCTGCGTAGGGTTTATGGTTTAGGGTTTAGGGTTTAGGGTCAAAAGGGGTTTAGGGTTGTCAAGAGTCATCAGGTCCTTGGCTTCAAGAGTACTCAGTGGGAGAATCTGCGAAACTGCACCCCTTGGCCCACATGATCCCACCCCTACCTCTCCCAAAACTTCACGCCCTTTGTAGATTCCCGGTTTCGACCTTTACGACACCTTCAACCCAGACCTACTCCTGCTCTTACCAAGGCTGCTTCAGGTGCAGGACAATGAGAGCCGCAGCCACCGAGAGGAGCTGCGAGCTATGGAGGCGGTTGGGGAGAGAACTTGCTTCGGGCTGAAGAGTTTAAGGAATTGTTCTGCTTGGAGGTCGAATGTCAGAGGTGGGCGTTGCTTTCACTCAAGGAATCACGAAATAGCAGTAAGAGACCAATCAGATGGCAATTAGAGTTCAGAGACGGTCGTTCCGAACCTTAAACCCTACTATAGCAACAGGACGCCAGCAGCCAGACCAACCAATGCCATCACTAGCTCCGCCACAACTTTGCAGAAGCCTATTGATGGACTCCGAACTGATCAGTCTTTCACAACCCGAAACACGACATACCCTGTAAGCCCTTGTCGATACTTCAAGATATCAGCTGTATTACCGTATTTACGCTACTTCATTGGCTCAAGACAAAAGGTGCGTTGCACTGTACTTGTTGAGTTTAGGGCTTTCCGCTGGTAACAATAGGTTATCAGCCGTAGACTCTAACACTACCTGCCGGTGTCATGGAAGGGCAATCTCCCGGAAATGCTGCAGCAATCCCCGTACCTGTGGAGGATGAAACAATGTCACTGCTTAGCAACCCCGTTGTAGGGGAACCTACAGCTGCATCGACAAACCCTCCCAGGGATGGTGAGGTTATGCCGCTCAGCCAAGAGAACTTGGCAATGCTTGCAGCCCAGAACGATCCAAGAATCATGCATGTTGGAGCAGTTAGCGAGCAACGCCTTGCCACTGGTAACGTTCCAGGTTTAGGCTCCATGAACTCTTGGAACATGGTTCCAGGGCTAAGCACCCCAGCATACTCACCGACAGAGAGAGCTTCTTCAGTGTTCTCTCCGACGTTCAATGCCCAGCACATAGACCGTAGGCAGCTCCAGGTGAATCAAGTCGACGCAAGGCAATTGGCGCTGAGCCAGGTCGACATCCACGTCAACGCCGACACTGGGCCAGCCGTTGCCATGGCCGCAGAGGCGCGCCACAGGGAAATCGTAGGAGCCATAGGGGAGGCTCATAGGGAGGAAATCAACATACTTAGTTCCCAGGCCACATCCAAGGTGGCACAATTGCGTCATGAGTATACCGTCCTTCAAAACAATCTTAAGCAGCTTGAGAGTGAAGCCGCCACTAAGTCGAGCAACGATCAAGGTATCATTGATCAGCACTCTGCTGCTCTTGCCAGAGCAAGGACTGAAGCCATTGAGCTTCACAAACGTCTTTGCGAGGCGGAAGCCTACGCTAATGCCGAGTACTCCAAGCTTGAGAGGCTTTCTCATAACGTTCAGAGTGAGTACGCCATTCACAATGCGAGGCTGTCCGAACAGGTTGAGAGCATGAAGGTTGAAATCAATGCTATGATCGGACGCTTCAATTCTGAAGCCGAGCACCGCTCAGCACTCACGAGCGAGAACTCTGATCTTCGTGCTAAGTTGCTTCAAGCTCAAGAGATGCTTCAGAAGGCTGCCAGTCAGACCGATTTGCCCCATCATCGGGAGCCGGAAGGCAACCCTGGTCCTAGCGGGCCACCGCCCGGCCTCCCACAGGTTCATCGCCTTGACACACCGCCTGGCAAAGGCAAAGGCAAACCAGGTGATCCAGATGATGACGATGATGATGATGATGGAGACAAGAAGAAAAAGAAGGACGACAAAAAGAAGAAGAAGAAAAAGAGGGACTCATCTTCGTCCTCTGATTCTTCCTCATCTTCGGCAATTTCACCAAAAGAGATGAAGAGATTTTTCAAGAAGATGATGAAAGGTGGTTCAAATGACAAAGATGCCGACAAAGCCGAATCATCGGATAAGGCTCCCAAAACCAAGGAAGCTGAGAAGGTTTTAGTCCCAAAGTTTCCTCAGCCTGAGAGCTATCGCAATTGGCGCATCAGAGTTCGCGACGCTGTTGTAGCTGCGTCTGATAAGCCCGACAAAGCTTTCGAATGGTTGTCTAGGGTTTGGGAAGCCGATATGAAGGAGGAAACCCTTCGTGATCCGGAAGGATTCACCACCCTTGATGCTAAGATCCTTTCAGCTCTGTCAAACATCCTGGAAGGTGACTTTGCACGTCAGGTGGCCACCTTCAAAGAAACAGAGGCCAACGCCGGACGCCCAGTTAGAGGAAGGCAGATTCTCTTCAGGATTCACAACTACTTTGCGACGAACGCTCAGCATGGGGCGGTATATGACATGGAAGATTTGCTTTCAGTCACGTTGCTCAATGAGAATCTTCTCACCTTTATGCGAAATTGGGACACGGTGTTGTCGGGGATTCCCAAAACCCCTGAAGCATCATTCCTCGAGCCACTATTTCACAGACAGGTCAAGAAGGTCAAAGCTCTCTCGCATGACATCAACATCTATGAAAGAGCTCTTGAAGGTTCCAAAGAACGGTCCTACAGTTTCCTGTATGATGCTGCAAATGCGCACCTCAACAGGAAGCGCCTTGAACGCAACCGGGAACGGATGGCTCGACAGACGGGCAGTCCTGCTGTGCCCACCGCACCTGCACCTAAGAGGGTTCCTAAAGGTTTCTGCATTTCATGGGTCCGTAATGGTTCCTGTACCAAAGGTGACCAGTGTAAGTATAAGCACCAGACTCCGGCCAAGGGACGCGGCCGCTCTGCCACGCCGGCTGGCTCACGAGCAAGCTCTGCAAGCCCCGGTGGTAAGCCTAAGATCTGCAAGTTCTACAAGCAAGGACGTTGCGATCGGGGGGAGAACTGTAATTTTCTCCATACAGGCAAGCCAGGTGCAGCTGCGCCTTCCGAAACCAGTGGGAAGGGGTCAAAAGGCAAAGGGAAGAAGAAGGACCGCAAGAAGAAGAAAGATCGCAAGTCTTCTCGCTCTAGCTCCAAGGGTTCTAAGGGTAGCAGGAATTCCAAGGGAAGTCAAGGCTCCAAGAACTCGAAGGGCTCAGGCAGAAAGAAGCCTTCAGGCGGTATCCCTGCTGCTGTATGTCTCCTCAGTGCTCTTGTTGCTGGTTCGGCCACCCAAGCCGATGCTTTCTCCCTCCGGAAGGAGTGGACGGACCAGATGACCAATTGCACGTATCCCTATAGTCTGGCGCTACCAGCGGTAAATTTCAGCTCTGAAGTCGATTACATTAACATTCCTGTTAGTGATCCCAACGCGAGGTTCACTCCAATATCGCCCACCAACCGTAAGCATCGAGGTGAAAAGCCTTTGGATTTTGTCCCAGAAATCAGAGCAGACTCCATCCGAGAGGCACAGATGTCAGCGAAGATGCTGAAAGCTTCCATCTCTACCAAGGACGACGTTCCGGCCTGCCGCTGGGAGTGTGATTCGGAGATTGGATGTAATCACTGTATCCCAAAGGGTCTTAGAATGTCGTGCCCTGCTAAGACAAAAGGGTCCTCCAAGATGCTTAACCTTGAATGGATTGGCGACACCGGGAGTGCACAGGACCTAATCGCAGAGAGGGATCTCCAGCATTTGAAGGCTTATGAGTCTGAACAGCCAATCAACATCATGACCGCGAACGGTCCCAGCTCCGCCGACAAGCAATGTGATGTCGACGTTCCGTCGATTGCTATTTCTGCCAAGCCTTATGTGCTGCCCGACACTCCTTCAGTCCTCTCCATAGGACAGCGTTGCATGGAGCAAGGTTTCGACTTCATTTGGAGAGCATGTACTCGCCCTTACTTGAAGACCCCTGAGGGTGAAAGGGTTTTCCTTGATGTTCGAGATAATGTGCCTTTCCTCAAATCGTGGAAGGAGGGCACTGCTTGCCCTGCGCGTGAATCTAAATCCGATGAGATTCAGCCTGTTGCCAGAGGTGAAATGCCTGATCGCAGCTCTGAAGAGATTGCTTTGCAGCTTCTGGAGAAGCACGACTTCTCGGAGCGATCATGCGTTGATCTCTTGCGCACCGTCAACTTCGGAGCAGGTAGGAGTAGAAGAAAAGCATTAGGAGAGAAGCACGGCAGTAGCAAAGAGAAGTACGTGATACTTGGTGCTTTTGCACATGGAGGGTTTCATGGGGTAACCAAGAGAACTGGACGCCATGTTAACACTATCAAGTATCTCATCGCATTTCTTCGCAAGAGAGGCGCGGAGTTGGAGAGCTGTTCCTCACTCTGCATCAACCAGAACTCGCCCATCAAGGTCCATAAGGATGTAAACAATCATAAAGACCATCTCAACGTTACGATTGCCGTGGGAGAGTTTTCCAATGGTGGCCTTTGGATTCATGACCCGAACGCTATGAAAACCGATAAAAATTATCTAGAGGTCAAGGATTCTGTAGGCACCAAACTCCCTGGGATGGTCCATGACAGTCACAACAAGATTGTTGTTTTTGACCCGAAGACATCTCATTCCGTAAGACCTTGGAAGGGTGAACGCTGGAGCATTACTGCCTACACCTGTAGGTCAGTTTATCAACTTGATAACCAGGACGTTGCGAAGCTTCGAGGTTGTGGGTTTGTTATTCCTCACAAGAGGGTTCCTATTGCGCCGGCATCCGCCGACGATCCTGACGAAAGGACTCTCAGGGAACTGATGGAGGAAGACACGCCTGTCCGGCCTTTGCCGGATCGCACCAAGCCTACAGTAAAACTTAAAGCTAAGCCTAAGCCTGAACCAAAAGCAAAATCCGAGCCGAGGGATGGTGTTCGAGACCCCGGTCTCCTCAGGTCCGAAGGTGCGGCACGGGTGCGAGCCATTCTTGATGGTTCTCGCCCTGCTCCGCCCTCTGACGAGGTGCGTGCTGAACCGGACATTGGTCCTCCTGCCCCGGCAGCGGCCGATGCCCCCGATGGGGAAGCAGCATCAAGTGACGATCCTGAAGCACCTGATCGTAGAGCTCGTAGTCGGAGCAAAGAAGCTCTGATCAAAGAATCAACAACCCGTGAACACCTTATGACTCATGTTCCCAAGAACCCTTATTGCCAAATATGCCAACGAGCTAAGATGTACAAGCCTCCTTCTTATAAGAAGGAAACCAGTACTATCGAGGCAGAGGTCTTTGGCGACCATGTGACCGCAGATCATCTGATCTTGCACAGGGACAAGCAAACTGTCATTGAGGATTCGCGTCTTGCACTTGTGGTCAAGGATGTTGCCACTTGTTTCATGTATGCATACCCTGCTGCCTTGAAGTCGGAAGACGAATGCCTCGTGGCGCTCCAGCACTTCGCATCCGCGAAGGACAATGTGGAGACTTTCTACAGCGATAAGTCTAGGGAACTTGAGGCTGCGGCCAAAACGCTCGGCTGGCGCCATGAGCTCTCTAAGGCTTATATCCATCAGTCCAACGCTGTTGCTGAGCGTGCTGTGCGAGCCACCACTGAAGGCACTCGCACCAATCTCATTCAAGCTGGCATTTCGCATGTTTACTGGCCGTTTGCCCTTGAGCATGCATGCACTGCCTACAACATCAGCAATCCGGGGGGCAAAGAGTTTACCCCTTGGTTCAAGCGTTTTGGTGTTGCATTTCCTGAAGAACCCCTTCCTTTCGGTTGCAGGATTGACGTTTGGGTTGGTCCGAAAGCCCAGCGCAAGGGTAGAGACAGATTCGAGCCTACCAGTGAGCCTGCGATCTTTATGGGATACAAGTTCCAACCTGGTATGAAATGGCGCAAGGAGGTCTTTGCAATTCATCTCAAGCAGCTGAACAAGCATGATTTCCACGAGTGCCTGAAGCCAGTTATTGCATCGCAGCACAAGCTCACTGATGGTAAGATCGTTTTTCCCATGCGTGAGAGGTATGAAAGGGTTCAAGCAGGTCTCGCATCAGATGCCACTGAAGGACCTGTCAGTCAATCGCTCACCAATCAGGACGCTGAAGCTGCAGATGAGCAACTGCCTGCACCCGCAGACCGAGAGGTCGAGCCGCCCAAGAAGGTACTTGATCCTAAGACAGGGAAAGAAATTGATCTTCCTGAAGGGGGTCGGTACTATGATTCGGGGGGTACTCTTGGTAGAAAGTATGGAGGCACTAGAGGTTCTAAGAAGCCCGAATCCATTCCCTCATACCTTTGGGTCAACATGTCCAAGAAACAGAAGGAGAAGGCCATTGTTGATGAGGCACGCGAACAAGCATTGCGTGATATGGAAACTCCTACCGAGGGTTCAGCCGGTAGCTCCTCTGCCGCCGCCGCAGCACCTGCTGCGAGCAAGGACCACTGGGAGGTCCGACTGAACGAGTGTAAGCTAATACGCTATCATTATGTTCCCAGAAGAGAAATGTTCTCGCCGGACATCACCGATTGTCCGATCGAACTATCGCGCATCTCTAAGCAACGGAGTACAACTATCATTCCCGTAGGTGGTGTTGACGTCATCCACGAGGATGATGATTGGAAGAATGTTAGGAAGCGGAACAAAAAAACTAGTTTCAAGTGGATCGGCAAGACTGAGTTCATCTTGGGTAGAATCCACAGTCCCGCTCCTGACGGAGATGGTAAGGATGCATTCCCTGCCATGCCTACTGTACCTCATGAGCCCGAGCATCGTGAAAAGATTTCCAGCAACCTTCCTGTCTCAGAGGACGAGGTACGAGAGCTTTTTGCTCTTGTCGCAAGGCCTGTTGGTCGCAGAGAAATCCTCGAGGACCCGAAGGCCCAGGCTGCCCTTGATGTTGAATGGAACAAATTAATGGTTAAGAAAGCCTGGGATATGGGATCTGTTCGGGAGTGGAAAGACGTCAGTGATGAAGCCATCAAAAAGGGGAAAAAGGTTCATGTTGGAAAAGTTTTTGAGATCTGCGTAGAAAAGGGAAGTGAGCTTCCCAAAGGCGACCCACAACGAAAATTCAAGGGTCGAACTGTGTTCCAAGGGAACAACGTCAAAGATGAGAATAGTGATCAGGCTCTTTTCAGTGAGCTCGGATCCAGTCCTGCCACGATGGAGGCTGGGAAGGCACTTGATGCCTATGGGCATGCACCAGGCAATGACTGTCAGCAGGCCGACGGCAAACAAGCGTACACCCAAACCACGCTCAAGGGAAAAGAAACCTGGGTCAGGCTGCCGCCTGATCGATGGCCTCCAGCGTGGAAGGGAAAGTACAAAGATCCTGTCGTGCGGCTGACGCTGGCACTCTACGGTCATCCTGACAGCGGGGGTTTTTGGGAGTTACACTGTGAAAAGATGTTAGGCGAGGTCGGGTTTCAGCTTGTGTTCCCGGCTGCATGGCCTTCAGTTTTCTTCCACCCCCAGCTTCGTCTTCTGCTTGCAGTCTATGTAGATGACTTTAAGATGGCCGGACCTAAAGCCAACATGCAAAAGGGGTGGGAGCTGATCAGTTCGAAAATTGACATGGACTCTCCCTCTCCCATAGGTCGTTACTTGGGTTGCGAGCACATCTCTAAGAGCGCAAACCTTAAGCATTCTGATCATCCTTTTGCCCACGTCTTTGACAAGAACGTCCGTGATCCTGCTGCCAAGGAGACTGCCGCTGCAGTCGTGCGTGAGGACTACACTGAATTCCATCCCGAAGAAGGTGTCTTGGTGCGTCACCATGTTCAGCCCAGACGTGCACTCTATGCCTTGCCGGCCTCTGAAGCCAAGCTTTGTGCCGTTGGTCAACACCGACTCACGGAAGTGAGGTCCATTGATGATGATGAGCTTATCGAGCAATCATGGGATCATCCTTCCGGTCGGGGTAAGAGGTCTAAATTATGGGTTGGTGCTACCTATCTTCTTTCGGATAAGCACGATCACGCGTCAGCTCTTGCTGCAGTTAAGAAGATCAGGGACAAGAATGAAGCTAAGAAAGAAGCGAGGAAGAAAGCATTCTTCGATGTCAACCAACTGAGCGACAACAAGGGTTGCATGACTAAGGGTGTTAAGGAAGTCGTGTACGACATGAGTTCCTTTTTACAGCAAGCCATTGATAAGTACAAGAAGCTCGCAGGCCCACAATTCCAACACCTGCGAAAGGTTGCTACGCCCTTCCATGACGACAAGATCGCTCGCCCGGTTGGCACCGAGGCCGAACCTCGCGGACAGCTTGCTCCCATAGCAAGCCGCATTCTCATGAAGCTGTTGTTCGCAGCAAGGATGGCAAGGTACGATCTGCTGCGCGCAGTTCAGGGATTAGCCAGTCGAGTCACCAAGTGGTCTGTTGAGTGCGATAAAGCCTTGCACCGCTTAATGTGCTATGTCGCGTCTACATTGGAGTACCGCATGCGCGGTTTCATAGGTGACGACATTAGCACTTGCAAGCTGTGGCTGTTTGCTGACAGTGACCACGCAGGTGAGCATGATAGCAAAAGCACCTCAGGAGGCTTCCTTGCTTTGGTTGGTCCTAATACGTACTTCCCCCTTGCAGCTTTCAGTAAGAAGCAGACCAGCATTGCCCTTAGTTCCACTGAGGCCGAGGTAGTGTGTGCAAATGTTTCGTTGCGTGCATTAGGTCTTCCTTCTTCCGCGCTTTGGAGCGTGCTTCAGAATGCGGGGGGGGATAGCAGCACAAAACCTAAGCACACTCCCCGGAAGGGTGATGTTCCCAATAAACTCCTCTCTAACCACCCGGATTCCCTTATCCAAGGAGTTACTCACCTGGGCACTTCGCACCTCATTGATGGTAGAGTGGTCGAACTGCTCACCAACCTTTCATCCCTGCCTGAACCAGTTGAGATGAACACTCATCCACTGCGTGACGTTTGGGTTAGGTTAAAGGGTACTTGGGTTCAAGTTGAGGAAGCTGTTGCCTGGGAAGAACTTAAGAGAAGGGATAGACCCGTTGATCCTAAAGCCGAAGCGTGTGTAATCGTCTATCGCAGGTCCACAATGGACTACAGACGCCACACTGACGCGGAGGCTTTCATGCACCGCGAGATTGAAGGCATCAGGAATACGGGGGGTCGGTCCTCGGAAGAGCTTGCGCCCAAGGGTTCAGATAAGGACATAGGACTTGTGGTTACGGTTCCACATTCCATTCAGCCTGTCGTGCTTGAGGACAACCAAGCCACCATCAGAATCCTTGAGTCAGGTAAGTCGCCAGCCTTTCGTCATGCTGACAAAACGCAGAGGATTAACTTGGGATGGATTTCTGAACAGTTTAGAAGAAAGCACTATGACATTGCGTACATCAGTACATTGTTGCAAGCAGCCGATATCCTCACTAAGCCATTCACCAATGCTGAGAAGTGGTCCCGTGCTCTTGCACTTATGGCCATATCTCCCCTCAAGCTTGATGTGAGGAAATCTGGCGCGGCCGCCACCACTCCTGGATCCACCCTGCTGACGCAGAGGTCTCCTCCTTTGCACAAGCGGTTGATCATTGAAGTGTGTTGCGGTGACGACTCACTAATTGGTAATCTTGCTATTAACAAATATAAGGACTGCAAGGTCGTTCGCATTACTGAGTCTATGAACCTGAACGATCCCAAAACCCGACGGGAAGTTCTGTCCATCGCAAAGGAGGCCCACAAGGACGGTCTTCGTATCCTCGTTTGGGCTAGTCTTCCTTGTACGGGGGGTTCGCAATGGGCTCGCCTTAATCTTGCCGTCGACAAGAACCGAAGCGCCGTCTTCGAGGCCCGGAGGAAATTCACCAAGCTTTGGGCATCATTTGTCGACCTGTCCCATGGCCTCGATCGACTACTAGTCGACTATGCCATTGAATGGCCAAAGGACTGCGAGTATTGGAAATGGACTAGGATTGTCAAATGGATCGAGGGGAAACCCATTCGGAAGGCCCACTTCGACTGTTGTCGTTTCGGTCTTCGCAACGAAAAGGGTGAATCCGTCAAGAAACCATGGACTATTGCTACTACCTTGGATTCCTTGTATGTTGCATTCCGTGACAAGTGTTGCACTGGAGGGCACGTGCATGGCAAGTGTAATCGCAGCTCTGAAGAGTACTGCTTGCGCATGGTTGATCTAATTCACAAGGCGTTTCAGGAAAACATGAGCAGGACTCCTTGCACATACGTAGCCGCTCCAGCAATCAAGCTCCCCAGCAATCCTCGCCTCGAATCTCCTCCTTACCTTTCTGAAGGAATGGCATCTCGTGCAGTTGAGATTCTCAGCGCAGAGGAGCGTGCTGCTCGCCTCCAAGAAATGTCGGCCGCCGCTACCGATGCGGATCGCCTGGCTGACGCCTTGGCTGGACTTTCATCACCAGCGTGGTGGAATGACGCAGTGCGCAATTTCCGGGAGCCCACGGAGGCTGACAGTCCCGATGACTTGTTTCTTCGTGTCATCCCTGTGCAACAGTGGCTCGATCTCCGGAAGGGGTATCCAAGTGTGCCGTGGACCACAATCTATGAGATGTGGTACCGGATCTACGGCGTCAGGGCCTACAGCACTGACGACGTGCCGTCCAAAACGGTGCATGACTCCTCCCTGGCGGGATGGACGCAAACTATGCTCGACCTCATCTTCGACATGGCTGTCGTGGGATGGGGGCCAAGGGCTCAGAGTGCGTTTGACGTCTCAAAGCCATATGATTTGTGCTACCGCGTCACCGAGATGGAGCACGGCCTTTCTGACCGACCCCTCCACACGGACGTGGTACAGCTTCTGGGGGGTTTCTATACCCCGGCTTTTGAACGCATTCCGCCACCGCCACCGATGAAATCCCAAGTTCTCATCATCGGCGACTCCTCTCTCGCCTTGTGCACGCACAAGGGCGGTCGTGCGAGCAACAAGATGACATTCCAGGGTCCCCTTCGGGATGTTCTGTCGCATGACCCTCGCGTGACGGAAGTCAACGTCATGATGGAATGGGGCAAGGACCTCACTCTCCTCACCCAGATCGTGGAGGATTTCTTGAGGATCCACCACCCTGACGGGTTGGATATTTTCATCAGTTGGGCGGGGAACGACGTCCATGGCCCGTATGGGTACCAGGGCTACACGTGGCACCTTGTGTCGCCCTGGATCAAACAGACCGAAGAGCAAATCCGCAGAGCGGAGCACTGGCCCGTCAAACAGTTGGCCAAGGTGGAAACCGCACTCCGGAAGGTTGTTGCGTTGGCTGGACATGAGTGTGTCAGGTCGTTGACCGTTGTCGCTGGCACTGTCGCCCAGGCCTACGGGCTGGATTGGGAGTACGACAGGGAGATGAAGAAGCACACCGACTACCTCGTCGCAAACGGCGTGAGGGTCGTCGACCCTTACGCGCTTCTTTATGGCACGGTTCGTTACGACAAATATCACATGGTTGCCACGCAAGACAACTTTCAAGCTGCCACGGATTGGTGGCGAGCGCTTGTCTCCACCACCCTGACGGGTCGGCAGATCTTCATGATGCGGGAGGACTTCCTTGCAAATCAGCGAAGCCAGATCTTCAACAATCACTTCCATTTGGCGCAGCCGGAAATGTCCCTCACGGTCCCGCCGTGCACCGACATGGTGAGGCCAAGGATTGAGGACTTCGCGTGGCGGGCGCCTACGTCGAGAGATCAAAGCGAGGAGATCATTGTCGCCCAGAACGTTGTCCGGAAGGCTACAAACCCCTCGGACGAAGACCACCCAGACATGGGTGCTGTCCCTATCACCGAGGACGACCGGGCTTACCTCAACCCTGACGGGTCTGGCGGCGATGACGACGAGGTGATCCTCTTCGACGCGAACAACCCCCGTGTGAGGAGGTTGATGGAGGCGCTCGACTCGGTTGAAGGCCAGCTCGATGACGAGCAAGCCGTCGAGATTGAGAAGGAGCGCGGCATCGACACCATTGTCATCAATGATCCTGACGATCCGGACATTGCGTGTGAACCGCTCCTCCCCATCAACGAGCCGGATTCCTCCGTGGAAGAGATCTTGCATCAGACCAGAGAGAGGGTTCGCCAGGATAAGACCCTCATCGATCTCAGCGAAGACGTCACCGACCTGGGGAACAAGGTCTTGCCTGCTCCTTCCCGAGCTGCGCCGCCCAAGGCAATGCCTGCGCGTGCACCTCCCGGAAGGGATGGTCCTACCATCGATGAGTCAGCAGCATACTGGTGCGTCGGTAGCGAGATGCCGGTCATTCAGATCAGGCGCTACCTCTCTCCCAATGCCCTTGAGACGTTGAGCCGGAAGATGACATGGCTGCTCCGCGGCTTCTCCAAGAAGTGCGCCCACGCACCCCATCTT